TACGCTGCTTTTAAGCGATCTATGCTGATGCTATCTTTTGTTCTGTTCTTATCGACTAGATAGTACTTAGATTCACGTTGAAGAACTTTGTAAGGTCCTTAGTATGCTGATTCGAATGGTCGTCGATGCAAGTCTCGACAAACGAAAACGTGTACTATATCGTAAGTCAGGTTAAACGAAAACATCTGTTGATTGTGGTCGAGTGGAAGCAGGTTTAACTGAACGCATTGCGTTTGTAAGCCTGTTAGGGTATGAGGTTAGATCCATGTTTATTGAAGAAGATGGAGGATCCACGAATTCTCCTGGAAGTCGAAGTGTCTTTCCATAAACGAGTTGAGCCGCAGTGTGTCCAATGTCAGCTTTCACTGCATTGCGAATAGCTAGTAAGACGAGTGGAAGAGCGTCGGTCCACTGTGAAATGTTTGCAGCTGATAGTGAAGCTTTTAGTTGTCGGTGAAAACGTTCTACCAACCCGTTTGCTTGTGGGTGGTAGGCAGTCGTTCAGAAGCGAGTGATTCCTAATAATTTGGTCAGACGACGGAAAAGTTCAGATTCAAACTGCTGTCCGCGATCTGTAGTGATGGTTGAAGGGCAGCCGAAGTTTGCTACCCATCGTTCGACGAATGTGCGGGCCACTGTTTCAGCAGTGATGTCCTTGATAGGTACTGCTTCTGGCCATCGAGTGAAACGGTCTACGCAGGTTAAGAGGTAAGATTATCCATGTGAATCTGGTAAAGGTCCTACCAAATCCAGATGAGCATTGTCGAAACGAGCATCGGGAGTTTTAAACGAGCCTAAGGGACATTTATTGTGTCTGATAACCTAAGATTTTTGGCAGCTTACACAGGAGCGTGCCCACTCCCTCACGTCTTTATTCATGCCAGACCAGCAAAACCGTTCTGCTATAAGCATGACGGTTGCACGAACACCTGGATGAGAAAGCTTGTGCAATGTATTGAAGACATTGTGTCGATAATGTTTCGGAACGATTGGGCGATCCCTACCTGTAGATGTGTCACAAAGTAAGGTTTCCTTACCTGTTACCATCTGTTTGATGCGTAGTTTAAGGGTTGTGGACGATAACTCGTGCTGAAGATCAGTGTCTTCTTTTTGAAGCTCGGCGAGTTTAAGGTCGATTCCTTGGAAACTGTTCAAGGAAGTTATGCGAGATAAGGCGTCTGCAACTACATTGTTTGCTCCAGAAATATGTTGAATATCTGAAGTAAACTGCGAAATGTAGTCCAGTTGTCGAGACTCACGGGGAGAGTACTTGTCAGAAGGAGAGCTTAAGGAGAAAGTGGGCGGTTTATGGTCCGTGAAAAGAGTGAATTTGTAGTGGCATTGGACAATAGCCACACAATCCACAAAGCTGTGAACACAAGACTACTCAGAAAATAGATATTCAATATTTAACTCGGGGAAATACCTAACAATGGAGAAGGCGCGGAGAATGAATTGAATGGACTGGAGTTGGTCGAGTGGCATGGCTCGGCCATGCAGGCGTGGTCTCTGCTGAATGTTACCTTATATCGTCTATTCATATTAAATATATTGTTCCTTCTCTAGCCTAACCTTGTTCTACATCATGTATTGGTAATCGATACGATACAGTGAGTTGATGTAGTCGATGGTGTGACTTCCACGTAAGATCTTACAGATTAGGCAGTTATATCATGACAAATCTACAAATTTAGGATCAGGTCTATTATTAGAGCAGTACTAATATCATAGTAGACCATAATTCTACAGGAGCTCCAGTCACGTACTGAGATAACTGATGCGAAAATAGAGACAAAGAATCTATGACAAACCACGGAGGTAATTTTTGAGAACGCTATTTCACTTCATCCAATGATTGTAGATTATTAACAGTTATTTTTTGCCCTAGATTAGTCGACAAGCCATTAGTTTTCTGTTGATGCATGATCCACTACTATGGTCGATGGTGTGACTTCCACGTAAGGTCTTACAGATTAGGCAGTTATATCATGACAAATCTACAAATTTAGGATCAGGTCTCTTATTAGAGCAGTATTAATATCATAGTAGACCATAATTCTACAAATTCACGGCCATCGATATAGTGTTGGAAATGCCATACAGCACAATACATAGCTAGGAGTTCCCTATCGAATGTGCTGTATCTTGATTCGGTGTCTAGCAACCTTCTAGAGAAAAATGACAAGGGTTGCCATGAGTTGTTAACCCATTGTTGTAAGACTCCTCCGATTGCCGAGTCGGATGCGTCTACTGCGATACTAATGGGTGCTTCGGTGTCCTGTTGTGTGAGCATTGTTGCTTTAGCGATCAGTTCCTTAACTGTGGAGAATGCTGTTCATGCGGTGTCTTCCAAATTAATCGATTTCGCATTTCCACGAAGTTGGTCGGTCAGAGGTTTCATAAGTAATGCGCATTTCGGTATGAAAGGCATTCGCAAAAATTCATAGAGTCCGAAGGGAGTAATGACGGCGGGGATTTGGTTATACGCTTTTACCAAGTCGATTTTTGAAAAGACAGTTGTACCTTTCAAGGTAGCTGTCAAGGCGTGAATGTGAGGCAACGGGTAACGGTCGGGAATGGTTCATGCATTTAATCGCCGATAGTCACCAGTTGGACGCCAATCGTTGCTGTCCTTTTTAGGGACCATGTGCGACGGAGATGCATATGGGCTATTTGACGTTCGTATGATTCCTAAGTCTATCATGTGATCGAACTCGTTTTTCACCAACCTTAGGTTTTCAGGCGCTAGTCGTCGTGCTTTAGAGAATACAGGTGGTCCTGTAGTCGTGATGTGATGTATAACGTTGCTGGTTACACACGGTAGTTTCGGTTGCGTTTGATGAATCTCAGGATACTTGTCGAGTAGTGGTTGATAAAGTGCATCTGTTGTGTACTTAATTGTGACTGGGGATAATTTGCAACCAGAAAAAGAAGTTACGCAAACAGATAAATTAGCGTTTCCATCTACTAGCCTCCGTTTGTGCGTGTCGATGATTAGATTATGGTGTTGTAGAAGGCATGGAAACATCTGCAACAACGAAGATCCAGTGAATGGGTTTGCGTACACCCACGTTAAGGTTAACGTACCTTTTGCCATACGTTGCGATCGGTTTTCCGTTTGCCGCCTGTAAGTTTAGAGCCGATTCGTGAAGTCGGTCGTTGGAATTCGCTAAGAGAACGCTAACTTCTGCGCCAGTGTCGACGAGGTAGCGAACTGTCGTTGTCACATCTGTGACGTATAACAGACGGCTATGTTCGCCGGCTACGGTTGCCGTTAACGCGTGCCGGCTTGAAAGTTTCCCGAGTTGTTTTTCGAGTCGGTCGGTTTTGAGTTGGGAAAATTGCATGGTTTTCTGCAATTTTTGGAAAACTTTCCATACTGGTTATGATACCAGCACCAGTCGGAATTATCCGTCTCTCGTGGTCTAGAGACAGATCGCTTACGTGAAGTGCTTCTACGTGGGGTGTGTGAGCGCTTACGGTCGTTACGAAGGTTAAGATAACGCGTGAGTGTATGACATAACTCTGTTATACCATTCTGAGTCGTTTGAGGTTTTTCTTTGACTGAAAATACCTCGGTAGTAGGTTTCATAATTTCTAAAATGCGGTCGGCAGATGCAGCTAGCTCGTCTAATGCGTTGTTCTGGAACGAGACCAGAATTGCTTGCACCTGTTGGGGAAGTTTTGACAAGAAGAGTTGTTTGAATAGTCCTTCGCCGAAAGTTCTCAAGCCTATAACCTCTATCATCCTTTGCAACATGTCAGTCGCAGAATCGTGCTGCAGGTCTGTGTTATTAAAGAGTTTATCTAACCTTTGTCGATCGGTTAGGTCTCCTCGTTTAGGAATCGAACGCTTTAAGGTTTCGTACGGTTCAGAAACATCACTAGTAAACATACTAGGTGTTACGTACCTGTCGAATTCCCGCGGTAGTGCCTTGACTACTACGAGGAATTGCGCACGTGTGTCGTTCGCGCCGTGCTCGTGGAAGTCGGCTTCTGCGTAATTGAACCAGGCTTTGATAATGTCGGGCCGAAAGGGCATGAGTTGGAACGAGGGTGGGGACATGGTCTCAATCTTAAATACCTTAGGAGTCTGTTCGGTCATAGGGAAATATTAAGTACGAGAATATGAGGGAAAAATATAGATATCCTGAGAAACGGGGAAAAATATCACAATGTATAAATACTAAAAAAAGTAAGGCAATAATATATAAAAATCCCAAAAAGGAACAGACTCACAGTTGCAATTAGGTGTGCCAGATCACGTCGGGCTCACCAATGAAGATGGCACAGGTATTCAGTGTTTGACAACGCTTTTACCAGCAACAACTTCTAATATGATTCGTACCCATCAAGAGAAATCAAAAGACATAGTCGAGGAAATTGGAAGAGTGTATTTGGCGATAACCAATATATCGGGATTGTCTGATCTAATCTGGCTAGCGATTGCGGTAGATGTTGAGCACAGTGTTCTCACACGTGACTTGGTGTGGATGCATGACCGAGCGCCTTCAGCTAGGTGATTCCACTAAAAATAATCTGGTCAGCATCCAATGTCGAAAACTTACAGAGCTATTTATTTTGGGGATTTATTTACCGCTACACATTTGTGGGCGTCCGCTTAAACATCTGATTAAGTTTAGTCCCTTAGGGTTAACACCCAGAAACTGGGAACTCAACACAGCAGAACGGTCTGTAGTCACATTTTACACTCCTTAAAAGTAGTCAAATGATGGAATTCGCTCACTGCTGAGCTAGTCCTAGTGACTTCACAGGAGTACTTTAAGAGGAAACTTGAAACCTTAAGGACTAAAGACAGCATCTCCTTATAATTTGCCAACTTTTCAAAAGTCTTCTTTATCATTAAATATACCGAGGTTCTTACCTGGAGGCTTCGGTGATCCACTGCTACTAGATACGGAAGCCTGTAAGCGGAAGCTTAACATTTGAACAATTCGGACCAAGGTCGTTGACGTTAGTTGAATCACCTCTTTCTCAATATCTCGTTGCGTGATTCAAAGTTTCCAAGACGTTTCTGGGACTCTTGAAAATATATTGCAAGGTTCTAGTATCATTTCAATATCTTATACATATAATCCTTACTTGTTAGAGTTTTCTTATTGAACGTCAGTTACATTCTTCGCAATGTCGTCGGTATTGGAACAGCTGATGGAGATGGGCTTCACACAAGCTAGAGCGTTTGTCTGACTTCTTAACCATGCTAATTTTATTCAGGGAAAAGGCTTTAAAGTTTTCTGGCAACAAAGGATTAGAGGAGGCCATGGAATGGTGGGTATTCTCGATTCATCTAAGTCATTATTTTTCAGGATTGTAGAGAATGATAGTGGTGATGAGGAAAAAGGTACTATTTATTTAGTAGGCTGTATAAATTCTTTCAATAAGAGGGGATAAACGGAACCAGGGAAAATGAGACAACGGACTTACCATTATCTTACAAATGTGATGAGTAGCTTTCATATTACTTTCTAATTTTCTTTTAGTTGCGATAAGTGTCTCAGAAATGAAGATGAAGTTCAGGTGCATAGTGCTCGTACAGGACACGTCAATTATTCACAGTGCTCAGATGCAGTCTCATCACTGACAGAAGATGAACGTAGGGAACAAATGAAGAAACTTCAGGTTTCTGTCTAAGTGTAGAATTCTTTATTTCTAGTTTGTATGCTGTGAATGGCTTTTGCCAAAAATAGTTTATCACTCGCTTTAGTGTGAATATGTCAATGATACAGGATTTAGCCTTTTTACATGAATGCTATGAGTAGTTCATATAATATCTCCAATCTCTACTTTTGATTGATATTTGATTATGATTGTCTACTCTAGTCCGTATCTGAATATACAGTTAACAATGTTACATATGTTTTCATAGGTGTGGGAAACTCTGAAGCCGGATTTTCTCCCGAGAGGAAATCGCGACTATTTATGGTATAATATTAAAGCGTCGAGAAAAATCAACTCGTTCTAGTTCACTCATTCTTTCGAAACAGTTTTGTTATAAATGGTGAATGCTTTTTTAACTTTGTGTTACTTCGTTGTCCATTTTAACTTGTTTCTCCTGCTTAACAGTTCTCTGGTGTTGCTGAAACAATTATCTTCATTCCCTTTGTTTCCAATTTCCCCTTATTGTACGGACATTAACTGTAACCATTAGTCCGTCTTTTTCTTGTTCCACGTTATTTCTGTTTCCGTATAGCTCATTTGTTTATCGGTTAATAACTAATGTTCAGCTGATAAGATTAATTAAAACATCTTTTTATTTGTCCTGTTATCGGTTAATACAGTTATTAAAGTAAGTTCAATTGAGTTGTTAGGAGTAATTACAATTTGTAATATTTACTGACTTCTCGTTTTCTTCAACCATTTTCTTGCAATCTGCTGTTTTTTTCTAGTGGGCTGCTGTGTTTAATGGGATGAATATCAATCAGACATGAAGTACATTCATTTTTACCGTTGTAGTTCATTCTTCCTTTTACGTAGGTTTATGAATTTCACGAAACCCGATCGTAAATGACAAATATAATAATGAGAAGTATACTTGTGTATCCGAATGATAGAAAAGCCTCTAATCTCAATTAGCTCCCTCCACCAAGCTACACAAACTCATAACATTAATAACAAGAAATCCCTAATCAATAGGTTCCACTAATGTTATACAACTAGTCAAATAAGTTTGTTTGATCAAACTGTCATGTTAATTTGCTATCATCTTATAGTATATATAAAAAACTCCGTCATGAATAAGTAGTCTATTGTTCATAGTTGCTGCATTTTATGTATGTATATATTGATAGGAACTTCTGCGGGCCAAGAAAACCCAAAGAGAAGAACAAGAGAGACATGAAGAGATTGAGCGTGAAAAGAAAAGGCGTCAACAACACAAGACACTGAGTTCAGCTAAAGCGAAATTCGAAGAAGATGAAGTACGTCGTTTTGTCGAACAAAAAAAGCGTGAAAAAGAGGAGGATCGAGCTTATCTGTAAGTAGAATCTGATTAGAGTTAGTTTTTCGCCTTCATTTTGCACTACTGTTTTCGTTCACTATACTATACATTGAGAATACTTTTATATATGTGCACAAGACTTCACATTGACTTCTGTTTGTTTTGTAATGAATAGTGTATATGTTGAATATTCCCTTTTATGGATTATGTTGGCTTCATCATTAAGGTTTTAGGAATAACTTACTGATTAAAGTACTAAACTTCCAACTGATCGTTTTTGAGTTAAAACCCTGCTTTGGTTACTTCAATTTGTGTTGCTAGGTATTATCGCAAACACACAAAAGGTATATTAGTCCCTACTTGCTCACTAATTTTCATTACATTATCATTTAAGAGATAAAGGTTGATCTAGTTAATTATCTTCCTCAGTTTCATCAAAGCTAGCTTATAATATATTAAATTTAAAAATAAATATATATCACACAGTGGATAATGTGAACACTGGTAGTTTTGTACGCATTTAATTAATTTGAAAGCAAGAGGGATCGCGTAGCAGAAGGTTAAATAATTTTTAAGTAATGTGCATTTTCAGCGCAAGGTCTTTTTTGTAATGTTCTATTCTCTAAGCCGAATGGTTTAATTGCATAGCTTTGGTTGTCTTTCTGGACATCACCATCCCTTATTTCATATAGAAATTATCGTTTTTCAATCATTCTGCATGGAAAAAATGCCGTCTTGATGGTCTTGTTCGCACTTGGTTATTTTCACAGGTCTTGCTATCTTAATTTTTGTATGTTTTCGTTGTCTGTTTTCAGTAAGCCTCTTAATGTTATCGACTGACATTTTACTCATGAACTGATAAATTGTATCTATCTGAATATTTCAGTTATGAATAAGCATAAACGCCATTCCTTGGGATTCACAGAATTTCTGTCTGTAATTTTGACTCTTCTTGATCCAATTCATATCGTCTGTATGCGTAATATGTGATGAAATATCACTTCGTTTACCCGTTAATCTGTGGCCCCCTAATGCCCTAGGTACAGCCGAGAGTGAGGAGGGTCCGCTCTCCCTCTCGAAATACTCTCACACGGCCGCGCGTATACAGCCTCTGCCAGGGAAGTCCTACTCATTGCCTTCTCGTGGCATGGGTGTTGTTTACGAAAATGAGAGGACGAAAAGCAAATGTCCGGCGCTTTAACCGGATCACAAACCAATGGTGCACATGGGCTCCAGTATCCTGCGGGAACAAATGGCGTATGAACCACTCATTGGTCACCGGCTACCATGGGATTGCATCTCCTTACAATACTCCGCTGCCTTGTGGGTTAGACCTTTAGGTCAAAGGCTCGAGGAGTGGCCCCCTAAGATAACCACCTGCTTCGGTTTGGGCACCCGGGCATTATCACAGCCCACACACAAATGATGAACTCTCTATGTCTATCGAAATTACTTTTCTCGCTTCGAAAAACAATCAATTGATTCAAATTATTATCATTACAATTATTGTCATTATTAATACTATTATTATTACTATTGTCATTATTATTATTATTATTATTATTATTATTATTCCTATTATTATTTTCCACATTATTCACCCTCTTTTATACTTATACAGCGGCTCGGCTTTGGTGGAAATTCAACTGTATCTAAACGTTCTCGTGTCACTGTCCGGTTGAAAATTGTATGTTACCACTGAATATGAGTACTGAAGCAGTTTTTCTGAAACCACGTGCGTCATTCAAACTGGCTGCCTTCAACGTTCGCACACTTATGCAGGTTGGACAACAAATAGGGCTGGCTATGTATTTGGAAAGTCTTCATATCGATGTCTGCTGTCTATCCGAGACCCGTATTCAAGACTCTGGTGAAGTACTGTAAATTCGCTCTCCATCTGTCGCTTCGAAGAGCTTGTTTTACGTGCGCTTATCCGGGGACCCTGTGGCATCTTCGTCTGGTCTTGCTGGCGTTGGTGTCGCACTAAGCGCTAGAGCTGAGACAGCACTAATCGATCGGATCCCCATTAACAGTCGGTTATGTGCTGTTGGATTGGAAAGTTCCATCAAAGTGAGAAGAAATCGGCGTGAGAAACGATGTCTTTTCGTCATCTCCGCCTATGCCCCGACAGATTGCAGCCCGGATGCAATCAAGGATGAATTCTACCACCAGTTATCTGTTCTTCTCCAGAAAGTGCGTCCGACAGATATTGTAGTACTGGCCGGAGACTTGAATGCTCAGGTCGGGCGTCTAGGCACAGAAGAGAGTCGTTTAGGTGGCCGATGGGGACTCGTTGGTCGCAGGTCAGATAACGGGGACCGTCTACTGCAACTGTGCACAGACCACAACCTGTTTCTGGCTAGCACTAACTTTCGGCACAGTCATCGCCGATGTGCCACCTGGCGTCCTCCCTCTGCATCTAAAGCCTGGACTCAGATTGATCACATCGCGATCAGCTACCGCTGGCGTGGTTGTGTACAAGACTGTCGCTGATTTTGGAGTACCTATCTGGACTCTGATCATGTACTGGTCTACGTCAATCTTACTTCACTTTTCAGTGGACAACGAAGTGATCGTCATCAAAGGATTGATGTTAGCAAGTTGGTTGCAGCTTCCGTTGTAACTAAGTATCGAACCGAGCTAGTTTCTAGGCTAGCTACCATTCCACCGAAAAGTATAGATGAGCATTGGTTGCAATTGCACGACGCCATGAAAATGGCGGGTACAGTCAGTTGTGGGTTCGCGAAACGTCCCGCTTATAAGCACTGGGTTTCTTCAGGCTCCTACAACACATCGAACCCCATTGGTCTACTCCGGGTGACCGTGAGTTTGACCATAAACGAATGCTGTTACCTAATGAAATTGGGCAAAGCTTGCATAAGGACCGAGAAGCCTGGTGGTCGAAGCGTGCTAATGAGCTGGAAGCAGCAGCTGCATCTGGTAACTACCGGAAGCTCTTCCAACTCATCCGAGCCACTGGCAGCAAGAAGTCTGGTGTGAGTGAAACAATCTGCGAGGATGATGGGATGCCAATCACTAACATCCATCGACGTCTTGGACGATGGGCAGAATTTTTCGAAGGGCAGTTCAACTGGCCTGCTGCTCCAGCAACATCGGTCAGATTGTCCTGCCCTCTACGGCCGGTGAAGACTGATCCACCAAACGAGGAGGAAGTCCGCAAGGAACTCCAACTCTTGAAGCGTTACAAATCACCTGGCCCAGATGACTTACCTCCAGCTCTTTTTAAAGATGGTGGTGACTTTCTGACTAAGGAACTGACGACGTTGTTTACAAAGGTTTGGGAACTAGAGCGTGTACCAACGTCATGGAATGAGTCGATAGTTGTCCCTATCTTTAAAAAGGGTTCACGTCGTTCCTGTAACAACTATCGAGGGATAAGTCTACTTCCGATTGCGTCCAAACTATTGGCTTCTGTCATACTTTGTAGGTTGTTCAAAACCCGAGAAAGATTGACTCGCGAGGAGCAGGCTGGGTTTCGTTCTGGTCGAGGATGTATTGATCATATCTTCACCCTCCGCCAAATGTTAGGACACCGCCATACTTATTAAAGGCCAACAATCGTAGTGTTTCTTGACATCAGGGCTGCCTTCGATTCGTGGTCGGGCAACACCATGTCAGTAATGCAGAGGTTCGGCATCGTGTGTTCGGGCACAGAGATGATAATTCAATTAGTGTCACCATCTTGAAACACCGACTTCGGTGGCTTGGACATGTTCTCCAAATGTCGTCACAGAGAATCCCACGTCATGCATTATTTGCCGATGCTGGGACTGGTTGGAAGAGGCGGAGAGGTGGTCAGTGCATGACATGGTGTCGTGGTATGAAAGAAAGCTGCAAAGGACTGGCTTCTATTGGTCCTTCACGACTCCCTGGTTGGTTTCCGGGAGATGGTGCAACACAGTGGCTTGAGACGTTATCGGATATGACTCAGAATAGAAGCCAGTGGCGATCCTGCTGTAGCCTTCCTTTACTTTCTTCATAAAAAGTGGTCGTATCTTCCTTAACTGAAAGAATTAGCGTCGACTTTTCTTTACCCCACCTATCCTTGTGGGAAGGCAGCATCGCTGTCATGCTGGTTGTCTGAAAGAAACACCTTACTGCTGTCACACCTCTGTACAGTCAGCAGTACGACTTCGTCTTCGGACCTTAGGTTTGTTGCTTTTAGTCTTACCGCTCTTCAACCGACCTGTCTGACATGGTAGGACCTTGAGGAACGGTTGTTCCAGCCAGTATAGCTCGGTTGCTTCATCACGATAGGCAAGCCCGACCACGAATCGAAGGCAGCCCTGATGTCAAGAAACACTACGATTGTTGGCCTTTAATAAGTATGGCGGTGTCCTAACATTTGGCGGAGGGTGAAGATATGATCAATACATCCTCGACCAGAACGAAACCCAGCCTGCTCCTCGCGAGTCAATCTTTCTCGGGTTTTGAACAACCTACAAAGTATGACAGAAGCCAATAGTTTGGACGCAATCGGAAGTAGACTTATCCCTCGATAGTTGTTACAGGAACGACGTGAACCCTTTTTAAAGATAGGGACAACTATCGACTCATTCCATGACGTTGGTACACGCTCTAGTTCCCAAACCTTTGTAAACAACGTCGTCAGTTCCTTAGTCAGAAAGTCACCACCATCTTTAAAAAGAGCTGGAGGTAAGTCATCTGGGCCAGGTGATTTGTAACGCTTCAAGAGTTGGAGTTCCTTGCGGACTTCCTCCTCGTTTGGTGGATCAGTCTTCACCGGCCGTAGAGGGCAGGACAATCTGACCGATGTTGCTGGAGCAGCAGGCCAGTTGAACTGCCCTTCGAAAAATTCTGCCCATCGTCCAAGACGTCGATGGATGTTAGTGATTGGCATCCCATCATCCTCGCAGATTGTTTCACTCACACCAGACTTCTTGCTGCCAGTGGCTCGGATGAGTTGGAAGAGCTTCCGGTAGTTACCAGATGCAGCTGCTGCTTCCAGCTCATTAGCACGCTTCGACCACCAGGCTTCTCGGTCCTTATGCAAGCTTTGCCCAATTTCATTAGGTAACAGCATTCGTTTATGGTCAAACTCACGGTCACCCGGAGTAGACCAATGGGGTTCGATGTGTTGTAGGAGCCTGAAGAAACCCAGTGCTTATAAGCGGGACGTTTCGCGAACCCACAACTGACTGTACCCGCCATTTTCATGGCGTCGTGCAATTGCAACCAATGCTCATCTATACTTTTCGGTGGAATGGTAGCTAGCCTAGAAACTAGCTCGGTTCGATACTTAGTTACAACGGAAGCTGCAACCAACTTGCTAACATCAATCCTTTGATGACGATCACTTCGTTGTCCACTGAAAAGTGAAGTAAGATTGACGTAGACCAGTACATGATCAGAGTCCAGATAGGTACTCCAAAATCAGCGACAGTCTTGTACACAACCACGCCAGCGGTAGCTGATCGCGATGTGATCAATCTGAGTCCAGGCTTTAGATGCAGAGGGAGGACGCCAGGTGGCACATCGGCGATGACTGTGCCGAAAGTTAGTGCTAGCCAGAAACAGGTTGTGGTCTGTGCACAGTTGCAGTAGACGGTCCCCGTTATCTGACCTGCGACCAACGAGTCCCCATCGGCCACCTAAACGACTCTCTTCTGTGCCTAGACGCCCGACCTGAGCATTCAAGTCTCCGGCCAGTACTACAATATCTGTCGGACGCACTTTCTGGAGAAGAACAGATAACTGGTGGTAGAATTCATCCTTGATTGCATCCGGGCTGCAATCTGTCGGGGCATAGGCGGAGATGACGAAAAGACATCGTTTCTCACGCCGATTTCTTCTCACTTTGATGGAACTTTCCAATCCAACAGCACATAACCGACTGTTAATGGGGATCCGATCGATTAGTGCTGTCTCAGCTCTAGCGCTTAGTGCGACACCAACGCCAGCAAGACCAGACGAAGATGCCACAGGGTCCCCGGATAAGCGCACGTAAAACAAGCTCTTCGAAGCGACAGATGGAGAGCGAATTTACAGTACTTCACCAGAGTCTTGAATACGGGTCTCGGATAGACAGCAGACATCGATATGAAGACTTTCCAAATACATAGCCAGCCCTATTTGTTGTCCAACCTGCATAAGTGTGCGAACGTTGAAGGCAGCCAGTTTGAATGACGCACGTGGTTTCAGAAAAACTGCTTCAGTACTCATATTCAGTGGTAACATACAATTTTCAACCGGACAGTGACACGAGAACGTTTAGATACAGTTGAATTTCCACCAAAGCCGAGCCGCTGTATAAGTATAAAAGAGGGTGAATAATGTGGAAAATAATAATAGGAATAATAATAATAATAATAATAATAATAATAATAATAATGACAATAGTAATAATAATAGTATTAATAATGACAATAATTGTAATGATAATAATTTGAATCAATTGATTGTTTTTCGAAGCGAGAAAAGTAATTTCGATAGACATAGAGAGTTCATCATTTGTGTGTGGGCTGTGATAATGCCCGGGTGCCCAAACCGAAGCAGGTGGTTATCTTAGGGGGCCACTCCTCGAGCCTTTGACCTAAAGGTTTAGATACAGTTGAATTTCCAGCAAAGACGAGCTGCTGTATAATACGAAAAATAAGGATACATAAACTGGGAATAAGAGTGAATGAATAAGTGACGTAATAAATAATAATGATAATAATAATGTGAATCTTTTACTGTTAATCGAGGCAAGAAAAGTATTTTCCATAAATTGCGTCATTTCATTCTATTTTTATGTGGGCTATGAAGCTGCCCGGCTGCCCAGACCGAAGCAGGTAGGGGGTCATATCCTGAGCCTTTGACCTAAAGGTCTGATTCACAAGGCAACGGAGCATCGTAAGGAGATGCAATACCATTGTAGCCGGTGACCAACGAGTGGTTCATACGCCATTTGTTCCCGCAGGGTACTGGAGCCCATGTGTACCATTGATTTGGGATCCGGTTAAAGGGCCGGACATTCGCCTTCCGTCTTTTTCGTAAACAACATCCGCGCCGTGAGAAGGCAGTGAGTTGGACTTCCCTGGCAGGGGTTACATATACTTGTGTACATATGAAAGGGCCCTCCCCACTCTCGGTCATATCAGGGCATTTGGGGGCGTCATCACATTTTAGGGCAGTATCATCCGCTTACTCATGGGGAAGAAATTCTTGAGGTAGATTTACAGTATCATTATATACTCCCGTCGGAGTTGTTTCCAAAATGTTCGATGCGAAAAGTGAAGCGGAATGGTGACTGGGGGAAATACTGATGGATTGTAACAATGGATAGAGGTGGTCTTGAGGTTTACAGAGCTTCAAACAGACAGTCTCAGAGCGCAGTCCTGTCTACCGGATCTATAGCATTCCCAATATTAAAAAAACGTAGCAATTGTTGGTACAGAATAAGGGTAGCTTTGCTCTAAGATCTTGTGAAGCGTGAATATATGATTGGTATATCATCGACTTGATCGAAAACCAGCCTTCTCACAAGATGGTGGAGCAACGTTAGGAAATTCCATTTCATAGTGACTACTATTCAAATAGGTTCATACACCATTCTTCCCCTCAATATCCTTGACTCCATGTGTATCTCTGCTTTGGAATCAATGTTTCCCAACTTCACATGAAAATTCTCCTTATCCAATTTCCGTCAACAATACTCCTTCCGAGTGAAGACAATGAGCCGGAATTTTTCAACCACAGCCATAAGCATATGGCTGTATCAGGATGTCAAGAGAGATCAAGAGAAAGTGGGCAGAATCTCCCCAGCTTCGACCATTCCAGGGCACCTGATATAAAATTCTGTACGCAACATAAACTAAAAAGAGGTATTTGCCACGAACCTAAATAGCAAACTTAATTTACTAGGAAACTTCAGTGTTTAGGATCAAATGAAATATGTTAATGATTTTATTCTATAATTATTTAAGCTGATGTAATGAGATATAAGTGAATTGTTCATTCAAATTGGATAGAAATCACATTGTTCAATGATTCAATGATCATGAATAAAATTTAACATCTCTTTTTATTTGTACAGAGAGAAATTGAAGGCTGAAATTGCTCGAGATCAAGAAGAAAAGGTTAGTTAATTTAATTGTTTTGTCTAAATCAAATTTAATCTTCGTGAGAAAACCAAATGTTTCTGTGTGAATGGATAAATTTATCACTTACTAGCAATAAAAACCGTCAAAGTTCATTCGAGGTTAAATACAAGATAGGGACGTATCTCAGTAAGCGTATTACTTTTAAAATACTGAATGTTCACTTCTGACGAGCTGAAGGCTGAGAAAAAGTATTCGTTCATTCTTATTGATCCTTTCTTCGTTGTTTAACTAGGTACTTTCTAGATGTTTATCTTTCGTGTAAATGGAAACCGAGTGTTAAACAGCCTTTTCGAGTCCTTGGAATTTTTTAAAGTTGGGTTTTATATTACTTTATCACTACTGTTTTTTCCCAGGACAAGTGAGATACAGTTCAACTGAATAACTCAACAACGAGGATTTAAATATAAACAAGTAAACACTGAACGTTTTTACTCACATCAACTGCTGATAATATTTACTGTAGGGTTACGTGCGTCCTTATAGAGTTATTTATGAAGATCTATTAATTGAAATGCATTCTTTATGAAAAATCATTTCAGTACTCACTGTAAGCTTAAAAATAACGAAACAACGTGTTGAGAGGAATCGTTCTTTTATCAGATTCTGGGAAATTTTTTAAGAAATAAAGCATTTCTCAATTACTTTATGTACGTTCTTTCAAATACTTAAGGCTACTACATGTCTATACGATTTGCTGCGTATTACCTAGCAGTCTAGGTATAAATGGAGCGGATAAATGATGTTCATAAATAGTCTATATCTGCGTGCATTACATAAATCTCTTCAAAGCAACTACAAAATCATTAGTCTCGGAATTTCATTAAATTAGACTTATTACCTCTGCTATACGGTTCAAATGGAGATTACCTCTTTGGGTGAACTTCATTGAAGATTTTTTCAGTAATAAAATTAAAGGTTTGAAAAACTGCTTCGCTTTGTATTATGATTTTATATAAAATCCAGGGCACATGTTAATAATTCGTAATTGGGACACGTTAGCTGGGTGTATTTAAATCTCAGTGTTCACGCCGAGATTCTAATCCAGTGTACATCGCTTCACACACGAATGGGTTATCTGTTAAGCTAAAGAGTTCAGATAACTAATACATAGTTCAATGGGGGTGGGTTTTTATTTTCCCATTGCTGATACTGAAGACTGCAATCGTTCAAAAATTTGTGTGTGAATGCCAATATTAAGATATTCGCTGAAGATGCACATTTTAACAGAAACTGATCAAATACGACCTTGAATGTCAGAAATAGAAAAATACAAACCCTTATTAAAAGCTTCGCTCAAGAATATTTATAGTTCTTGTAATGTTCCTTAGTATCAAAGTTGAAGGCCATTCTGAATTTGTGCAGTTTTTTTGGATATCAGGAATATTGTACTAAAAGTTCTTTACTAAATGTGCGTTTGATTTGTACAATCTGGTGATGAACATTTAAAGTATTGACATTATACCTCGTCTTAGATAGCATTCAATCCTTTTCGGTTGTTGCAAGTATTATTTGATGGTGGTGATAACCTCAGTAATCAAACTGCTCGTAAGCTACTAGTATTTGACCACAGATGCCTCAGAAATATTGCTGGCGTATGCTGGGATCGCCGGGTAAGTAATAGTGAGGTTAGACGCAGGGTATTAGAGAAGGATGGTAAATCAGTCGATGAGCTTGTGAATCTTCATCGACTGAGATGGGTGGGCCACGTGTTACGTATGCCCGAACACCGATTACCACGACGTGCAATGCTAACCGGCGTTCGGGATGGTTGGAAGAAAGTTAGAGGCGGCCAAACCAAAACGTGGCATCAGTGCTTGAAGTCACTAACTTCTAGTCTGAGCCATGTTGGTAGATGCAGACTACTTGGTTGGGGTCCGCGTGACTGTCGTAACCAATGGTTAGAGACTCTCGGTGACATGGCTCAGAATCGATCACAATGGCGTCGGTGTATACACTCTTTATCTTCCCTTAAACTAAGAGATTAGAATTGCTTCATATCTTTCTTTCTACGAACTAATTCTTTCTTCCTGTACTATATCCTTATATGCAATCTTTCTTTGATATATTACTACCTCTGAATTAACTACTTTTATGAATCCGGTGTCCATCTTGTTGTGTTAATGAGGTATGGCAACTTGGACCGATGTGCCTGGTCCTACGTTGTAGCTGACTGACTAACTGAAACTGCTTGTCATGACGTATTTATATCCAACGATAATATACGAAACTATTCAAACCATAGTATTCAGGGAATAGTTCGGTCGCGTTTCTCATAGTCTGTCTTAGTAGCTTAAATAAAACATATTTCTCAAAGTTATAAACATCTTACTACCGTGTCCTTTCCATTCACATGGTGCGACACATCCTTCATATATGTTTATTGCAACTCTACTACTATTCCGTGTTTTTATATGTTTCTTTGTTACACTTCTTGTTGATCTCCTCTCTCTCCATGGACTGATTGAAAATGTGAAAACTTACACTGATGCACATTTGCACCATCTGTTTATATCACGATGGATATTTTTTCACTTATTGTTACATCAACAAATTATCTACTGATATAACGGTTGCGTTATTAATTAGTCTACCAAATATATCATAACTCAATGTTTCTATGTTGTTCATGGGTTGTTGAATAAAAATTAGTAAACAATAACTGTACATTGTGTCCTAATTGCAAGACATTTAAGGTAAACTTCTCTCGTTTTAAGAATATTCCGATATTAATGATGAAATGTGTTTGTAATCCGCCTAAACCTCACTTTTTATTCTAAGTAATAATCAGGTAAATGACGTACACTAACTTAAAATTCTGTTTTTGTAACTTTTATGCAGCGTGCACGTACAGCTAGTGAATTACCACTGATATCTCCGTCAAATTCAACTTCTTTACCAACTGCAGTGCCGAAAACAAATCCAACAATTTGCCGTCTACACATTCGTTTACCATCTGGTCAGTCAATCAAAGGAGAATTCGGTGTCAATGAACCCTTAAGTGCCGTTATGTTATATGTTAGTCAAAATTGGCCTAATTCTTCAACTTTTATTGACCCACAATCTATTCAGCTGATGACTAGTTTTCCTAAACAAGAATTTACTAGTGAAGATAGAAATAGATCTCTTCTGGATTTAGGTGAGTTTAAACACTTTTAATACTCTTCTGTCTTTCATTCACAAATAACATAAAATAATTATAATGACTACTACACAGATAGATAGTGGCATTCATGTTTAACCATATAAACAAATTGTATTTTGATTTTTGAGTTATAAAGACTTAATATTTCTCATTATGGAATTGATCGATTCTTGTCAGGAAATTTCTTCTTGAAATACTAAACCTGATACCAACTGCAGCATGCAGGTAAGTTTATTTAAAAGACCTCAAATATAATCAAATGTACATTCTAGATTATATTACTGACCACTACCTTATAACGAAATATACATTCATGAAATAGTTAAAAACTAAATCTAATCATGAACCCTTTTGGATTATAGTCAAACTAGACGTATCTAATGGACCTAATAAAGATTTATCATTGGAATGATTTACTAAAAATTCAAATGTATTGAGCTATAGCTTATAAAATTTTCACTTTAATGTAACCTTTATGTTGGTGAGTTTCTGGAAATCAAAGAAATCAAGAAGACAACATTGAGGATTATCGTTAAATTTTTTAACCTGGGCAAAATTTAATTACATATGAAAATTATATTTGAAATATTCTCAGCCATTGAAATTTAACTAATTCCAACGTTTCGTCCAGCTAACTTGTCTGGACTTCTTCAGGGTAATAATCAAAACCAAAATTATCAAAGAAATATATAGCTTTTAACAATTATACTGTGTTAAACCAATCATATTTGGAAGTTGATTTTTTCACAGATTTAAATCATGAGTCAGTTGAAGCTAGACCACCATTGAAAACCTGGAAGCACTGGACGGCCGTTTCGTCCTAGTATGGAACTCCTCAGCAGTGCGCATCCACGATCCCGCACCACGCGGGGCTCGAACCCAGGACCTACTGGCTTCGCGCGCGAGCACTTAACCATTAGACCACTGAGCCGGCATCCAACGGTGTTAATGTCTAACTTCAACCAATCCACGAAGTCGCGCCACCGTACACCATTGTCTTCAGTGAGCTGATATCTCACAACAGACCTGGTTGAACTCCACTGGTAACGGCTTCCCACTAGAACTCCAGGAGTATCTCTTGAAGTCAGTCACTAGTGAGCAGATGATTATTATCAGAAGTAGTTTGTGGAGATTTTAGAAATTTTCACAGATTTAAATCATGAGTCAGTTGATTTTTTGTAAAATAGGATAAAATAAGTCAGTTAGCTACAAAACATGTGAAGAATTCAACTACATGGAAATACTTAATTGAGTAACAAATCGTATGTGTGTGAGTGTATAGGTATGTATGTATGCGTGAGAGATTGATATGCAAAAATAAATAAAGTTCAAGTTCAAGGATGAAAAATTAATAATGAAACATCGATGTACATGTCAAAACATAAATTGTATTGTTTAAAAAACTCATTGAATTCTTTCAAAAATAATAACGATGCATGTGATATAAAAAACAGGTTTAAACAAGAGATAGTTTCCAAATTTACTTGTCAAATGAAATTCGCCAGGTAGTTACCAGTTGAATACCATCTTTTCGGTTCAGGCTGTTCTTGTTCGCCCATATATGCAGCGCTTCTGCTGTCAATTTTTCTTTATGGGTGTTAAAACCTTTCTGAAGTATTTTGGTCCCTTCAAAATTAATCTTGTGTCCTGTTTTTAACGCATGTAACGCTATCGCTGACTTATTTTCAAGTTTCTTTAAATCAACCGAGGATTTCGGAACATTTTTCAGGCACTGTTTGTGTTCCTTCAATCTTACATTCAATTGCCTGGATGTTTCTCCAACATAGGTAGCATTACAGTCGTGACAGTGAATCTCATACACAATGTTCTGTTGTTCTTCCTTTGCTAAGTTGTCCTTAACTTTCACTAATGTCGATCTTAATGTGTTATTCGCTCTAAAATACACTCTTATATCATGTTTGTTTAGAATCCGTTTGATTTATTCTGATGTTTCACTACGTAAGGTATGACTACGGTGTACTTCCGTTCTTTTTGTATACTAGTTTAGTTTTTCTTTCATTTTTAATAATCTTCTTTAAAAACCTTTTTGGGTAGTTGTTATCCCTAAGAGTAGAAAATACTTTATTTCATTCGGTTCGTTGGTCTTCCTTGTCTGTAACAATCTTAGTACTTCTGTTCATTAGATTTTTTACCACATTAATTTCCGTGCTCTGTGAGTGGGCTGAATTAAAATCCAAGTATCTCTCGGAATGTGTTGATTTTCTGTAAACATTTATTTTTAACTTCTTATTATTGAGTCGAAGTTCAACCAAACAATCTAGAAATGCTAGTTTGTGGTCAACTGATTCTAATTCCTTAGTTAGTTTAATGTTTTCAGAAATGCTGTTTACATTGTTAAGTAGTTCTTGCAGACCATCCCGTTTATTGATAATAAAAATATCGTCTACATACCTTAATTTAATTACTTTATACTAAATTCATTGGCTAGAAATATTTAGGTATACGATTCATTATCAAATGTTTATTGGTCAGTACGAAAATGTCGTTTAAAGCTTAAATCTAGCGAAACATTAACCGAAATACATATTTCCCCGAATATTTGTATTTATGATTGAAAGATTTTATTGTTCACTAACTACATGAAAAAGTTCTTAGTTATTGTCCTGGTTATTAAGCTTTCATGTACTATTTTATAGGAGTTTTAAATACTCTATAGGGATTTATTAAAATAAATGGTTTAAGATGACACTATCACCTATTACAGTGCATATATATATTTGTATCCTCTTACTATTCCACACGATGAATTAGACAGTAGAAAGAAAGATTTATTGAAGTTCTTTCAGCTACCCCATATATTAAGAAATATGGATATCAGTGTAGTGTTTTGTGGAGGTTGTAGAATTTAAATGGTTTTAAAGCACGAACTGATCGCAAATGGAATACCATTACAGACAAGGAAGCACTGTAGAGCATCCACTGCATCGCCGCAGGGGACCGAACTTGAGACTGAACCTATAGATTACTAAGCTGGCCTCTAATGGTACACCTGTCTGACTTTAGTCAATTCACGATATTCTGTAATCATCTTCCATTGTCTGAAGTGGTTAACCTTCTCAAATCGAAAATGGTTGAACTGCGCTGATTACGACTTTTCATTTAAATTCCATGAATTGCATCTTAAAGCTAGTATGGGTTGGGAAGTTAGTGGAAATTGTAGAATTTTCAGTACCTGCTGTTTTTCAATGGTGATCCAAGGTCAGTTCGTGATTTAAAACTATGAAAATATGGATATGTTGTAATTTCGGGTTTCATTGTTTTTTGTTTTATGATGATAACATCAACATTGTATCATGAGATATTGAATTACTAATATTATTCTCTTTCGTTTCTTATTGTTTAGGCCTGTGTCCATCTGCAGTTTTGATGGTTCGACAAATACCCCAATAAATACAATTCCATTTTATTTCAACCCTATATATATATACTTGTACCCATAGTCACTTTTGGATAGACCTATTTTGATAATTAAAAATGGGAACCATTTTATGTGAAGCTAACAATGTTGAATATTCATTTGTTTTTTATTTCTTTTTTTTTCCTGTTAAATTGGTCTATATCTGTACTCACCTAATCGTGAGAGACAGTGCTATGACTGATTGTTGTTGTCTTTTGAAATATTTTCTTCTTTGCATGTAAAGTGAAAAGTTGATATATGCTTCTAATAGTAATAATTATTGTAATATAAATCACAATTTATCGGAAATTATGTGATTGAAGGTGACAGATTTGAATGAGGCTTAGTGATTAAGGTATTTAACTTCCAGCCACTAAGTCACGTTCGAACTCCTCCAACCTATTTCGATATGAATGATCAGTTAGTATAATTAGCCCTCGTACTTAGAGTGTAGCTCATACTCGAATACATGGTGAATGAGTCTATTTATTCTCGTTTCTCGTATTTGATCCTATTTTCTACCATCTACATATCCTATCAACTTTCTTTTTCTTTGCTGGTTTGAGCCTTGATGACTAAGATCGATACACATTTGTACTAGGTTCTACATTGTTTATGATGAACTGATTAATTCGAAATGGGACGGGACTTATCCACACTTGATCTTCTGTTGTTTATAACTATAATAGTCTTTGACTGAAAAGGAAATATACTAATTGATTTCAAGATCATTTTTGTAAATCGTTTTCCCTAACTAACAATATTTATTTATATAACACTTATACCGTACTGAATAACTACAAGTTTCGGGATGTAAGATTTTGATGATCGTTTAGTAATATGATCATTTCAATGTGGATGGTTTTTAATCGTCTTAAACTCGAGTTTGCATAAGAGTATCTGTATAAGATTTTTCCTTTGCCGTGAACAAACTCTTATATGCAATTTTATTTCGCTTAGATCTCAGAATTTTCCATCTGGGCTCTTCATCGAGCGCAGGTTTACCCACATCCTTCATTTTTATGTAGTGTGTTGCATAGCTGTGAAGTAAACTAAAGGAGACCACCTCAAAATACTCTACATTTCGATAAATCATCGTGCATCTCTGGTACTAAAGTCAAAGTAGATTAACAAGTGCCAAAATAACAATTTACATTCATATCGTAATTCAGTTAGTGACCAGTAGCGTAGAGTCGATTATTGTATAGTAATTATTTCTGCAGCATCCTGTCTCCTACAGAGTTGCGAAACGCAGCAAAATTCTCCGGAAACGTTTTCATCGTATCGGGATGTTTATCAAATAGGAATGTGTTACGTACTCTATATCGATAGTGACTCAGCTAATCTGGGAGAAGGTTGGATCAGACCAAGTCATATTTGTCGGTGTGCTTGCATATTTGGGTCTAGATAGTATGTTTATTAGTATAGTGCTTCTTTTCGTTTTTGTTGTCATGCTCCTTCAAACTTCTCGTCACTAAAAAAGAAACGCAATTTTGGGTAAAGCAACTTGATTAATTCAGGAGATCGTTTAGTGTTTTTGTATTTGACCTGACAAAGGGTAAAAGTATTCTTTAATACCTCCAATCCATGCGTTAAAACTGGATTCATACAGTGAAGGCTGATATTTGTGTTTCGGACTGATGGGGCTGTGTTAGGCGAGGACCAATAAGGACTGAGATTTGAATCAAGGCTGCCTGTACTGTTATGACGTATGATTAGTTTCGTACGAGTACTAGGTCGTAAGAGTCGATATCCTGATTGGCGGTTTTGTCACGTAATATTAAAAGGTAGTTTGCACATACTCCGAGAGTTTATTGAGAACGCATATTTTTAGACAATGGGGTGAACAACTATTTCATTTTAAGATAGTTTCTTTACTACATTTTTAGTTCCTATTTGGCTTCGTATACAGTCGTTGACTGGTCACATTGATTCAACTCAGGATCAAAAATTGGATACGAAATTCTTCTAAAACTTATTTCGTACATTCTTATCATCAGACAAGCTTTTGAATTGGCTACACGTTTACCCTTAAAATAATTTTGTATCGCAGTTGACGCAGTCACGGATTCAGTACGACGAACAGAAACGTAGACATGCATACAATTTCGTGTAGATACAAGGAAAATGTTTATCTGTAAAAAGTTATTAATTTTACGAATATGAATGCAATACTATCAAAGGAAGTAATTGGGACAATTATGTGGTGTTTAAAATAACCTATGAGATTAAAGCGATACGTC